AACCAGTACATTTTCTTTAATTTTATATTTAACGCTTCTCTTTTCTTTTTAACATGGGCCTTCCAGCAAAGTCTTACCTCTATAATGTAATACCTAGATATTTTGCCGAGTTAGCATAAGGGACCTGAGAATGATTTTGTGTTAATTGGTATTCTTTGGCCATTTTTGTTTGTTAAATTAATATTAACAGATTTGGTTTCGTTTAGTTTAATACGCCATCTTTTGGTCCAATTATTTATTTGATTAACTGATGTTTGTAGTTTATTGGCAACCTCTTCATGATCTTTGAGTATCGCTAGGATGGCACTATCATCTGCAAATGTAGCTATTGTGTCTTGTTCTAGTTGAAGTATATCACAAATGTATAACAGATACAAAGTGGGTCAGAGGACACTTCCTTGCGCTACTTCTGCTTTAATTTCTTTCAATTCAGAGTATGCTTCATCTTGTTTTACTCTAAAGAATCTATCTGAAATGTATGAATCCAATAGGTCTGAGTATAGCTGTGAAAGTGGCACATTCAGTTTATATTTTAAGCCATAATGGCATACTTTATCAAAAGCCTGTGCAACATCGAGGAAGATGGCTTAACAGACTTCTTTGTTTTCTAATGCTTTTTTAATCGCATTTGAGATTCTATGAACCTGATCTATAGTTGAATGGTTTTCTCTAAAGCCCAACTGGTAATCTAAAATAAGTTTCCTTTCTTCATTGATGGATTTCAGTCTTTTTATTTGTATTTATTTCACATAGTTTCGATATTATAGGCAATAGAGATATTGGCCTATATGACGAAACTTCGTTCAGAGGTTTTTCTGGTTTGGGGATTATAATGACTTTAGCTACGTTCCACAATCTTCTTAGTTTGAATGAGGCATTAAACAGGTATGTAAGTTTAATTGCGGCTTTTTTCGGAAGTTGTTTTAAGATTTCTCCGGTAATTAAATCAGGATTAAATTAGGATTAATATTTGTTTTTATATCTTCTGCAATTTTCTTTGGAGAGGTTGATCCGATAATTGAGTCATCTTTCTAGAGGAGCCCAGTTTGATTATTATTTTTCTTCTTTTGAATGGATGGTATTTTGTAAGTGCTCTGTGAATCTATTAACTGTTTGTATATTATTTCTAGCCCAGCTACCATCTGTATTCCTGATTGAAGCATTTTGCTTTGTGGCTTTCCATAGAGAATAATCAGTTGATTTATCGTTTGTTAACTCACTAAGGTACTCACAAATAGATTAATTTTTATCGTTTTATCTCTCTTTTTAACTGCTGGGTGGCGTTGTTAAGTTTGGGTTTATCTGATGGAGATCTGGTCTGATGCCATTTACTCCTTAGTTTTCTTTTTGCAGAGATTAGGTCCCTTATTTCTTTCGGATAGTTATTTCCTGTTGTTCGCTGCACAATAGGTGGCGTATTATCCCATGCTGCTTGTTGTATGTTGGACACAAGTATTTCTACTTGATCTAGCTGTGCTTTTGTTCTTAACGGAACTGATTTTATATTCAAAGTTCAGTCTGAAGCTTTGCCAGTCTGTCCTTCTATTATTTACTCTAGGAGCGCTTTCCTTTTCGATAATGATGTCACTAAGAGTGAGAAAAATGGGCGAGTGATCTGAATTCATGTCCCATGCCTCACCAACTTGGATGTAGTTTGCTGAAATATTTTGTACAACAAAAAAGTCTATTAGGTCGGGTATTTTGTTTCGATTTGTGGGCCAATAAGTTGGTTTGCCAGTTGAATGCGACTCACATTTTAACTGTATCATTGCTTCTTTTAGTGTTTTACCCTTAGTTGTTGTTAGTATGGAGCCCCAATTGGTGTGTTTTGCATTAAAGTCGCATCCAATGATAAATATAGGTTCTTGACTATTGAGGAAATCTAGGTATTGTTCTTTTTTAACGCTATGTCTTGAAGGACAATGTACAGAAGTGATCATAACATCAGAAGTTTAAGATTTTATCATTATTGAAATAGCCTGAAATTCCTCAGTCCTCAATTGCCATTTACTATACATTACTACAGAAATGCTGCTCCCTTCATTCCAGACTAATTTTAAAGATGCGTCAATTTTTGAGCAATTTTTGAAGATCTAAAGCCATTTTTAAAGATTATTTAACACTTGAGCAATGTTGATTCCTTAGCTATCTTAAATATATTTTTAGTATTGAGCAATTTAGCCCTAAACTGTCGAGAAATTAAAGTTAAAGATCCCTTAACTTTAGCACAATCTTTAAAGATTCCTTTAACTCTTCAAGAATTTTATTGTCGAGTATATTATTTTAAAGATTCCTTAATACTTAATCAATTTTTAAGATGTTCTAACTCTCGAATAAGTTTTAAAAACACAATTAATCGTGAAACTGCTTTTAGTTCTCGAATATTTTAAGAATGTTAGTTTTATTCCATAAACCAGCATTATTAGCGTAAGTTTTAGTAGAAAGAAATTTTAAAATTGTTTAAAAATATAGAATACGATATTAAAATTGCATACAATATAATTTTACAAAAAATTTGTGAGTTAAAGTGTCCATAACTCGTCCATGTGGCTTTCATACAATGGCCCATTTCACAGAATCACATTTATAGAAATACTGTGCTCTTTAATATCAATAAAAACTATAATATCCAATTAGTATAATGGCCGTATATCCCAGATAAAATCAAAATAAAAATTTATTGGTTAATAAACAAAGCTATAAATTCACATTGTTACTAATAGATAATCAAAAAATAATTAATTTTTCCATTAAGAATTCTCGCAAGTATAGCTTAAAGAAAAAGTAAATAAATAAAAGTTTATTAATTAATTGCTCCAGGACAATCAAATGTATTCGTCGGGTCAATAGACCCGTCCTATTTTATTTTTAATTACTGCATATGTTATAACTAGCATGTTAATGATTGGCGTTTTAATTGATGTAAACTAGATATTATTATAAGGAATATTTACTGATCAAATTTCATCATATGTTTTAGAAATTCGAATATTTCTTGGCTTGGGAGTCTTCAACAGTACCCGTATCCCACGTTATCCTAAAACAAATTGGACGTGTATTGTCTTATTTGTAGTCTAAAGACAAAAATGCAGTAATTTAATTTGTATAATGTAGTACATGTTCAGGAGGTAGACATTTTATTTATACTTCATCCATCACTACTTATTTGTAGTTGAAATGAAAATGTTAATACTTCTGATCGGCTTAATAAAAGATTTCGTTCAGATTAAATCATGTTCCATTGTTTTTACGGTAATCTTTTCTTTTGACAAATAAGTCAGACTTTATTTCTTCATAGCGGTGTCGTATGTATTTTAATTGATTCGAATTTTTATTTTACAGTTATAAAAGGTGAGTGCATTAGAAAATACTGCAAGCACAAGTACGCGTAAATTACCTAGTGGATATAAAGAATTATCTTCTGATGATACAAACATCGCACTTAATGTATTTATTATTCTTCGAAAAGACTGTTTTACTTTCTGTGGATGAAATAACCACTTAATATGCGATATATACTGGAGTATCTAAGCGGACAGTGTATAACATCATTAAAGAACATACATTCATTGGAGAAGTCTCACATCTGAAAAAGCCCCAAGGAAGAAACAAAATAAGACAAATGGTACATTCTTTTTTCTTTCGATATGAAATTCATACACATTAAAAATTACACTCAGAAATAAAGACTCTTCCATATATATCATACGTTCATCTTCAAAAAATATTATATGAATTAAATTTTCGTTACAAAAAACATGACAGAAACAGCTTTTAAACAGAGAAAGACAATACCATTGAGTGGAGACATGATTATTTAAGAAAACTAAAGGAAGGAATCAGCATAATCGGGTATTTTATTTAGATGGAAGATTGGTTAATGCTGGACATACAATAAAAATTTGTCAAGATACTCCCATGAAAACTAAAAAACAACCCTTTATTAAAGAGGTCTCTTGTGGATTTAAAAATCCAACAGTAAAAGAAAATCGTTTGATAATAATCACATTGGGAACACCGAAGCACTTTTGCCAGAATATTAATGTAAAAGTCAAAGAAGACAAAAGAGTACCATAAATAAATGGATGGCCCTGTTTGAAAATTTGTTTTAGAATATAAAAAAAATTCAATTAACTCTGTTATTGTTTTGGATAAGGCATTCTATCACAGTCATAAGATGGAAAAAAGAAGTTATTTCCAAATGGCTTTATTCTGAAGGCAAAATTACTCGTAATAGCAAACCAATATAAAAACAATTTGAAACAATATATTATGGACGAGATGGCCCGAGAAAAAAAATTTAAATTCTCAGATTTTCTCCTTGAACTAATCTGGTCACAATTAAAATGTTATGTTTTTCGAAACGTGGCTCAGTGGTAGAGTGTCTGCCTGTGGATCCAAGGGTCCCAGGTTCGAATCCCACCGTTGGGCGGGATTTTTTTATTTAATTTAATTATTTAAAATTAATTATGATGCCTTGGTAGGATTCCCCACTCGACCATTCACTGTTGGGTTCTAATTAACAGTGCTCTTCCTAAAGTGGCACTGGAAAACAGTAACAAAGCCTATACAGAACACGAGGCTAATGACCTTAGCAGTTGATGCCGATGACACAAAAAAAAATAACATAAATTACCTAAATAGAGAAGAGTGAAGAAAATCCATTTTTCATCTTAAAAAGATAAAAAACTCAATTTGAAAAGTAGATATAACAATGGAAAACCTAATAATAACACGTTGATCGCCATAATGATAATATTTTTTGCCTTCTTCCTGGCCATTTTTTTTTTTCGTTTTAAGCGCATAAAAATTCAGTAGAAAAACAACGCATTTTATAAATAAAGCAATTGTCAAGTTGAGGCCATACGATGCACACGTGCCTCGAAAATTTGCAAGAATAGACATGTATATTGCAGCGACACGGTTGAGTCTTATCAGTGTATTGTTCAGTTCGCATCGACTTGTTATTGTAGTAACTGTGTAGTAGTAAACTAGAGAAAATGGTTGATTATGAAAAGAATCAAAGAAAACTACAAGAACTAATGGATATATTGTCAGATGAAGAGGTGTTTGAGTATTTATCGGAGAGTTATATCGAAAGTAGTGATTATTCCGAATCATCTAATTATTCTTCATCTCCTGTACAACAAAAAAAGAAGAAAAAGGTGCTTAACTCTTTTAATAACTGTAATAACATATATCAACCCAGTACATCATTTGAAGTACATACAAAAAGCGTTGAAGAAAAAAATCGTACTGATGACATGGAAACTAATCCTGTTAGTAGTCCTACGAAACTAATAGCTGAAACAACTGAACGTGTTATTGGGAACTTTAAGTGGGATAGTGATACAGGTGATGAAATACCTAGTGCTTCTACAGTGTTGAACTGGAATGAGGTAACCGGAGACAATTTAAAACATTTAATTTTTTTTGAGCAAGGGTTGAATATAAATGAGAATATCTCAGGTATTCATAATAACCAGCCTATTGATTTGTTTTTGCTGTTTGTGGATGACGATATCATGAATATTGTGGTACAAAAAACCAACAAATACGCTTCGCAAAAAGCAGAAAAAACCAATTTACTTCAAGCTCGGATTCGACATTGGAAGGATACTACTATTGACGAATTGAAAATCTTTTTAAGTATACAGATTTGAATGGGATTAGTTCATATGCCGAGTGTGACATCCTATTGGTCTAAGAAAATCTTATTTCAAACAAAATAAAATCATTAATGTCCAGAAATCGATTTGAGCTCCTTTTGAGCCGCTGGTATTTTTCTGATAATGAAGGTACAGATACTTCACAAAGACTTTACAAAATCAAACCCCTTTTAAATCATATCAGTCAAAAATTTCAAAAACGCAGTAACCCCTTCACGTGATGTTTGCTTAGACGTATCCCTCGTGTCTTTTCGAGGACGACTTAGTTTTCTTCAGTATACAAAAAAAAAGACACAAGTTTGGGGTAAAAGTTTTCAAACTTTGTCTTGAACAAGGTTACACGTATGATTTTAAAATATATTGTAGGACAGAAAAAAATAATACTTCCGACAGAGTACCAACATCGATTGTTATGGGGTTTTGAAAAAATTTATTGGATAGTGGTCGAACCATATTTGTTAATAACTATTATACCAGTATCAAACTTGCTCACAAACTTATCTGGTCGGCACCTTGATAAATAATCGCAAGGGAATCCCAAAGGACATAGTACAAAACAAAAATTAAAGAAAGGCGAAGTTATTGCCAAGGAAAGTGATTCTGGAGTGGTGATACTGAAGTGGTGTGATAAACGCGAAGTTTTGATGCTGACAACAAAACACACAAATAACATGGTTACTGTAAAGTCTAAAAATGGAACTGAAAAGGAAAAACCAACAGCTATTAGACACTATAACCAAAACAAAAGTTTCATTGATCTCTCTGATCAACTGAAAGCCTACTCTTCTTGTCTCAGACGTAGCGTCAAGTGGTATCGCAAATTGGCAATAGAAATTATTTTAGGTTTAACTATGGTAAACGCGTTTATACTATATAAACAGGTTACTCGTAAAAATATAACAATTACTTAATTTAGAGAAGATATTGCCAAAAACTTGCTGAATATAACCAAAAGAGAAAATCCTCCATTGGCAGAGAGACATCACATTGAGGAAGTGAACACTACTAGTAGACGTAGATGCTCAAATTGCTACAAGAACATGTTCGAACTACACGGTAGAAAATACGCAACGTCTGAGGCCACTACGTTGCGTTATAAACGTATACAGTGCGAAAATTTTTATTTGTATACCTTGCTTTACTTCTGTTCAAATGTGCACATTATAAAGATTTTAAAATTCTGATCTCTTACGTTTTATTTTTTATTTTATTGTTGAAATAAGAATTTTATGTTTATAAATCTAAGGAAATGTATTTTATTTTATATATTTTCAAATCTATTGTTTATTTTTCAAATAAAATAATATTTTGTTGTCTAAATTTATTGATTTTTGAGTTACCTAACAAACTACATTAGAACAGTAAAAAGAATAAAATACATTAAACAAAAATAGTATGTTATATTGTGACTTTTATTTCTTATAGCATTTCTACTCAAACGTGAAGCAATTCTGTGCAGCGTGACTTGGAGTAAAACATTACATGCGAGACATATGTGTGCGGCGAGGCCTATTGAGTTACATTCAGTGCGAGGCACACTTGCCACACATGGCGATAAACGTGATAAACTTTAGAAAAGAAAATGATAATGACACCAATAGTTATAGTGAAGACAGTGACTTTTAAATTTATTTCTTAAACTTTTTATAATTTTTAATTTTTCATTTTAGGTATTAAAGTGTTACTTTTAATGTCAAGAGATTAAAAAAAGTAAAATCCCATCAACAACATATGGTCCTTCTTGTTATTTATTGGTTAAATTAAAATTTGTTTAATGTTAAACTAAAACCATTTTATCAGAAGCATAAGGTTTATTATTTTAACTTTTTTTATTTAAAATTCAATCTAAGAAGTGAGTTTATGCCATTGTATATGCCGTCAACTTTTATATTATTGAAACTTATTTTGCAAAGTACGCCTATGGAATGTGACGTTATAACCCCACTTTTTCTGCACTCTTCTTTTATTCAGACTATAGTGGCTTTTAAGTCAACCTTAATGTCAAATATTTCATCATCTTTGTGTTGTGGTTACTATTGCTTTTTACCCGGTACAATTTAAGGTCTCGGTATGTATTTTTTCGACATGGATATTAGCTATTCTACGCACAGACTACAAAACCAAAACATACGCCATTGCGTTTAGTCGAACGAATATATTTCTACCTAGTAAGAACGCTGCAAAAAATTAAAATTCACAAAACACAGTCCATATTTTGGTCACCCAGCTACTATTATTTTTTAAAAAATTTAAATAGGTAACAATTCTGTCAAACTAATAATAGAATATTTTTTAGTTATTGAGATTAAATATATAAAAAATAAGTTATTCTTGTGTAGAATCGATAAATAATAGCAGTTCTAGTATTATTTCGATTTTTACAAATAAACCACAAATTTCAATAAAACTATATGAAATCAATTTAATTACGAGTAATAGAAAAAAATACTGTGTGGCGATGAAGGAATGACTAGCTTTTATGCAGAGGTAATGCTAGGATTGAAGACTTATTAAATTATATCTTTTTTTTTTAAGTTAGTTCTATTATATAAATTAGTAAAAGTCATACATATTTTAAAATTAGTAATTTTATCCTAATAAACTAAATTAATTTTAAAAATCTGTAGATTCTCTTTAGTGGGTCGTAGAAAAAATTTTCTGTACAACTCGAGTAAATTGTCCATATCTCAGGATATGGCCATCATATCCACTCTTGTTGCACACACTACTATTAATCTACCTATAAATATCTTAATCTTGAACTTAATAATAACAGATTGGCTTCTGATTGTCTCTAATTAAATTCACTTACTTTCTATTCACCAAATAAACTATTAATTAAACACAAAAAAAATATACTAATCATTCATAAATTTTGACAGCTCAATTCTGTTGAAAATTTTAAAGATATTTCAATTCTCGAGTAATTTGAAAGCTATGTCAAATTTAGAACAATTAAAAAAAAAACTCTCAACTAATTTTTTATACCTAAATTGATGGTAGATTATCATTGTTATTCAATTATTATCCATTTATTAAATTATCTATTAATCATTTATAAAACATGTACACTTATAATTTATCAATTTTGATTCGTCAACTCTGGTGCAATTTTTAAAGTTATCTTAACTGTAGATATGTTAATTCCCTAGCTCTTTTACAAGAACGTCAATTTTCAATAATTTTTAAAGATATCTCAATTTTCGAACATTTTATATCTAAACCTTTGGTATATTCTTATTGTCCGAAATTAAAATCACTGATTTTCTAATTATTATCAAATGGACTATTAAATATAAAATTCTCGTCCCATTTTTAAAGATATCACAGCTAATCAAAAATTTTAATTTCCTAACTCTGGACCTATTTTAAATTTATCCCATTTCGCGAGTAATTTTTAAAGATATCTCAAGATTCTGAAACCTCTCAAAGCAATTTATTATAGGTTCTTAATGTCACAGTAGATTCTTAGTATCTGGAATTAGATTCACATATTTTATATCTATCAAATGAACTGTTAATCAAATAAGAAACAATTTATCACTTTTAATACCTCATCTCTCGTGATATTATTTATATATCGAATCTTGAAAATATTAATTTTTTTTACTTCGGACCAATTTTAAACATAATGTTACGCAGCACCCTGCAGTGTACTGCGGTCGTCATAAGTAAATGTACGAGTAAATAAAGACGATAGATTACTCCAGAAATGTCTCGAAATGTTATTCCTTGTCAAAGAAAAATCCGGATTATTCGAGAAGGTTCTAGAAGGTGTCCGATTCTTCCAAGGTGAGAGGATGAGAAGGAGGAAGAAGAGGAGGAGAGAGAGAGAGAAAGGCGAGAAGAGGAAAAGGAAAGGCGTAGAAGGGAAGAAGAGGAGGAGAGAGTAAGGCGAGAGAAGGAGAAGGAAAGGCACAAGAAGGACGAAAAAGAGGAGAAGGAGAAAAGGCGTAGAAAAGAAGCGATTGAAATTATAAACGGTTTGCTACAAATCCAGGAAACTTTAAAGCAAGAGGTTGGTCAGCTTAACAATAGAGTAGATCTTTTGGCACAACAACAAGTTATTTTAAAAACTAATGTAGAACAACAGTAGGAGAAGTTAAAAACTAATTTGGAGCAATAAAAGCATCTAACTCATTTAGAACAGCAGCAACAGCATTTAAAAACCAATTTAGAAAAACAACAGGAAAAGACAAGAGTAGAGTTAGAAAGGCAAATTAGAGCTGAAATAGTAGAGTTAGAAAGAATAATTCGTAGCCAAACTTCGGTAAGCAACATTGGTGACAGCTGTAGGATACAAAGTTAAAGTTAAATACTAGATCCACTGAGTATGAAGCAGGTATGTTTACTTCAGACCCACCAGCATGGTTTTTGAAGATATAAGAAGAAAAATCGGAAACCTTTTAGAACCCTCTTGAACAATCCGGATTTTTCTTTGACAAGGAATGACATTTCGAGACATTTCTGGAGTAAGTATTCTATCTTCTTCATTTACTCGTACCTTTACTTATGACGACAGCAGCACGCTGCAGGGTGCTGCGTATCAATATCAAATATATCGAGTAATTTTTAAAGATATCTCAACTATTCAATAATTCAATTTTTAA